AGGTGGAGGGGTCCCCTAAATTAAAAGCAGGTGGGGGTGGTGGAGTATGAGAGAGGGAAGGGATGGGAGGTAGCCAAGTTGTAGGGTCTTTCAAATTGAAAGGTGGAGGAGCAAAGGCGGATGGGGTTGGAGGATATTGTGGGAAAGGAAAAGGCAGAGATGGGATTGGTGGTGAGGTTGGGAATGGCAGTGGAGGAAAGGGTAAGGACGGAAAAGGAGGCAAGGGAGGGAATGGTAGCTGTGGCCAAGGGAAGAAGAACTCTGAGGGGTTGAGAGAGTTTTCCAAAGACAGTTGCTCATTCATATGTCCACACAAGGTAGTGTTCTTTTGAGGTGGCTTGTAACTCAGACCACTCAAGGTGTAGACACACAGGTTATCTTGTTTTGATTTGACTGATATCTCGCGTGTTGTGCTCTTGAGAAAGGGAACATTGCAAGTGGAAGTGGAGCTACTTATCAAAGATGCTTGGCAGAGTGACACAATTGCTGAACCATCCATGCAGTTAACTCCATCCACTGATGGTATCTCCAACTTGTACACTCCATATTGGTCTGTTGTTCTGTTCACAGAGAAGCTTATCTGCTCGCTAGTTTTCGGTGAGGTCGCTCTAAATCTGCACTGTATGTGAACTTCAACACCTGATTAATTAATTAGAACAAACCAATGAAACAGTGCATTGCAAAATTAAAACTCATTAACATCTACTGCTCTGCTTAATTAGTTGCCTCTTATCTTACCTTGCAAGAAGTAGCTTTGTTTAGAAAAAGTGCTGGTGGAGCAGGTATCACAATAAACAGCTCCTACTACACTGATATGAGAGATAATTGGAGTTGGAGATTGAGCAATGAGCACAAAAGGGGAAGTGAAGAGAGATGTGAGAAAAAGAAGAAGAGCAAGAAATTGATCCATGGATGAAAACAGAAGAGTGAAGGTGAAGAAGGTTCTACAAAATTAAAGCATTTGGAATTGTGTGATGATTGGTAGTGGGAAGGGAGGGGGAACAATATTTTATAGTAAGAAAGTGTGTGGTGTGGGCATAGAAGGAACCCGTGAGTGTGTAGTGGTAGGACCAAGCGCAATAAGAGAGTTGAAATTTTTAATGTGTTCACTACAAACAAAGACATGTGAAGATGCTGTTGGCAGAATATGGGTGGCAAAGAAGCGGGGATTTGGAGAGGTGATTGTGCCAAAATAGATCGAAAGCAACAAAATGCACTAAGTCTCATATTTTACTCCATCCAAACTTTCCTACCACTCAGACTCAGATGTGATTGCAAAGAACACGGGGGAGAATCAAGTAAATTGGAAATATTAACTTGCTCAAAAAATGTGCTGTGTCTTAAAATTGGAGAACGAATAAGCACGCTGTTATTCTATGGGATCACTAAGAAAGTGGATGATAACTTGTCTTGCCTCAAACCAGAAGCAACTAATTAATTCAAGTTATCAGATTGAAATAACCAACAGTTTCCAAATTAATAGAATGCGTGTAAAGGACATCACATTATTTATTCACAAATAATTTGTGTGCCATATTTGAACTATAAAATATGAACAGTAAAATGCAATGCATATATTGAAATAAAAATAAAATAAATTAATAAATTGAATAATAGGTTCGGTATCTACAAAACAAAAAGAAAAATCAATTATTGAGAAAAAATATATATGAAATGTTGAATTGGGATCTATTACGACAGAAATAAAAAAGAAGTTCCTTGGTTTAGCCATTTAGGTTACCTTGGATTAAATTCTTTAAACCAAAGTAGATCCAATAATCAAAAAGTTTAATTTCGTTAGTAATCGTTTACCCTTTTAGCTTTTGAGAGTACTCTGATATATAGATTAAATGGGCAAATAGCGGACTTGATTTTTCAGTTTTAATAGTTTCATCTTATTTCTCAAATGAATCATCAGACAAATTGTTCGGATGTTCCATATTTAGATTAATCAAACACAATTAATAAATAAATAACAAAGCAGATAAGTGTATGTTAATTCATCGCAATTCCTATCGTATTCCTTCATTCAATCTTTATAAAATTAAATAAATAGTAAATATCTTTCTGAAATTAAACAGGTTAAATTGCAGTGTTTAATTTGTAACTTTCTTAGGGTTCAATTACGTACCACTAGGGCAAGTAAGAAAAGGTGAAAGATGTCGAATGGCATCGCCAGAGGCGATGTGATAATTAATTTTTTATACCTACCTTCCACCTGTTATCATTCCTTTTACAAGTGAACTATGAAGCAGTCATAATCATAAAGAGAAGATAGTTACGTAGCCTGTACTGTACACCTGCTGTCTTTCCTAACCTCAGCATCCATTCCATATCATTGGGCTGCTGAGAACATTTCCAAAGTTGCACTTTAATTTCTTCAATCCTCAAAAGATGAATAAATTATGTAATCATTTAAACTTCAGAAGGCTCCGTGCATAATGATGGGTCTGTGCCATAATTCCAAAGGCTCTTCAACTCACCTCTTATACATCCCAATATGATAATGACACCTGTTTATTTAATTAGACAACAATTGGAATCAGATAGATTCAAATTAAACGTCCAGATACGCATCTAATATCAGATCAAAACTAGTTACCTAGTGTACAAGGTACAAGGTAGAGAAGAGCAGGTTGTCCATTTCCGTTCATCAGATATAGCCCCAAATATGTGAAAACGAGGCCTAAAACAGAAAAAGATCATCTGTCACGACAAAGAAGCATTGAATCCAGATCACAAAGCTGAAATGAGGTTGTGATATGACAAATAAATTTGGATCTTCAACTTATTTTAGATTCCCTGTGACTGAGGAAGCATATGCCAGTTATTTCAGTTATGCTTCAGTTTTCAAGCAGTGTATGACCGACCTCAAACCCTAAACTCTACTTAAACAATGGTTAAATCACGCCTAGAAATACTTGGCCTTGAATTGAATGTACACGAGTAAAAAAGAAGCAACAGAGTTTTAGCCAAAGAGTTCTGATGAAGGGAAAAATTAACGAGTCTTTCAATATAAACATGAAACAAAAGAACTTACCAATGCCATAGCCGATTACCAGCCAAAGAAAATATCCATTTGATGCTCCCCTCCTATTATCTTTGTCATATCTATGACAACCAAAATACAGAATAAATATGTTAAAACGGAGCATTTTGTGTATAAAGTACATAAATAAAAAAGTCACCTAATGCAATTTTATAAAGAAAGAATTCTCTAAGTGACATCAGACCATTAGTACTATGCATGAAACAACCCAAAGGACACGAGTCTTGCAAAGTCATGAAATTTGATATTACTTCTGAGCAGGTGTGACATTCTGCCCATGTTTGATATAAGTTAATATTATTAACCCCACAAAGCAGAAGCAACACAATCAAACTGCCCATTTAACATCATCACGGTATAAAAAAATATTTAGTTAAAAGTTTGCATGTACTCAGCAATGAAAAGACCTTGCTGAATCTTCTTGCATAAAAAATGGCAGTGTTTGCCAAATACTATGTATTTTCATGAAGTACAGGATAAAATTTTGATATCCATAATAGGCTTGGTTATCACACGAGTGTCATGGGCAGTTAGAGTGCAATCGACTTGGAAATATCAAGTTCATCAGGTAAATATCAATTATTATTATTATTATGGGGATTTAGGTATTTGAGGAGAAAAGAGAAAATTGAGACTGAAAATTCTGAAATTGATATTGACTTGATATTATGTGTTCTGACTTGATATTGACTTGACAATGAGTCAAATAAGGAAACAGATATTGACCAAATAGTAGCTTACCCAGGGGAATGCAAATAGGGGCAAAGAAAAATAACCAAGCTACAAAATGATAACACAGAATTTTCGAAAACTTTTATTGATTCTTTTGTCATAACCCAGAGGAATACAATAGTATATTATATACTACCACATAGATCATAATTTTATCTTTTCAAAATTAAATAATAACCATTCAAGATATCATCAATATCAAAATGTCCAAACAAACTCCTAATTATCTTTTAATTTTATCCCAATAAACTCTTAAACTAATTATCTTTTTAATTTTACCCAACATTATCTTCTTTTTATCTTTTTAATTTAATTTTACGCAACAAAACTCCCCCATAAATTAAATCTCTCTGCAACAAAAAATTGAGATCAGTTTCACTGATTTCCCAACCTCTTGACTTGCCGTCTTCAATGAAAGTGATGAAGATCTTATTGAAATATTCTGGCAAAGATCTTGTTGATTTGATAAAGTCAAGAATGAAGTCAAAGGCAACTTTGTGGCAGTCAAAAATCACTTAGATAAAAGAGTAGAGGGATTAGTGTGTCTGCAGCTCTGCTTAGGTATAATCATTTTTATCTTTTCTGCTGCATGAGGTTTCTTCACTTAAAAGATTTTGCAAAATGCTTCTAAAAACGTTTAAACAGTTAAAAACAAAGTATTTTGATAAAAGCTTTTGAATTAACTATTTTTAACTAATAGCATATATGTTCTATCAACTAAAATGTTCTTCACATTTTTATAAACAAGTTTTTAACTGATATAATTTCGAAATAACCGATTGTTTTCATTAAAGAAAGTTTTGAAAACCTTCGTCGAGTATTTTAAGCGATACAACTTCGAAATAATCGATTAAAATCACTTAAAATGTTCAGAGAAGTGTTTTTGCGAGTATTTTAATCGATACAAACTTCGTTTTAATCGATTAATTTCATTTGGTATACTGTATGACCGATCAGAATGCGACTATGACCGATCAGAATCAAATATGATCGATCAGAATTTAGTTATGACCGATCAGAATTATTTCAATCGATTAAATTACATTTCAATCGATTAAATCAACTTAAGAAAATTTATACTACGCGTTTTAATCGATTAATACGATCTTTTATCAGCTTAAAATCACTTGAAAAAGTTTATAAGAATATCTTGCAGTATTTTAATCGATTGAAAGACGAAACAATCGATTAAAACAAATTAGAAGATTTTTTACAAAGAGTTTTAATTGATATAAACGTTGTCGTATCAGTTAAAACAAATCTGGAAAATAATCAAGAACGTTTTAATGGATTAAAAGAAGTTTTAACAGATTAAAACAAGATTTTTAACAGATTAAAAGATTATTTTAACAGATTAATTAAACCAGCAGTTTTGAAAATTTTCTATATAAACAGAGTTGCTTGATCATTTTAAAACATATCTGATACACATCTTTTTGCAATCAATCAAGCAATCAAAAGTACTACTTTCAAGATAGAATCACGCTAGTTTTTGAAAAGTTCATCAAAGTTCTTTCTTGAGGCAAAATTGCATTCTTTTGGAGAAGAAACACATATTGCAGAACTGCATAAAACTGGTTTGAGCGTTTTAGTTTCTTCTGTTTGTTTCTTTACATTCTTTTTTGTATTGTTGGTTCCTGGAATTGTGGGCACTGGTTTCTCTGCAGCTGAAATTTGGTTGTAGAGGTTGTCAAGAACTGGAATTTGGTTCTTGGTGAAAGGTTAGGTGCAGGAACTGGAATTGTGGTTCTTGTGTTAGATTGAGTGTAAGGTTAAGGTTGTAATCTGTAAAACATTCAATCTAGTGGAACCCAGCTGGAATTTGGCTGGAGACTGGACGTAGCCCTAGGATTGGGTGAACCAGTATAAACCCTGGTGATATCTTTCTAAACCTTTCTCTTCTTTAACTTTGTGACTGCATTTATTTTTTATTGCTTACTGTGTATGATTCAAGAATTGATCAGATTTCTTAATCTTTAAAATTGATAATATGTTAATTGCGAAAATCTTTCAATGATCAATTCACCCCCCTCTTGATCTCAGCCTCTTTTTTTAACAATTGGTATCAAGAGCAAGGTTCTTGAGAGTTATTCAAGTCGATTCAAATCTTTAATGGCTGAAAACAAATT